GAGAGACAGAGAGCGCACAAGCAGGGGGAGAGGGAGAAGCAGGCTCCCCGCCAAGCAGGGAGCCCGATGCAGGACTTGATCCCAGGACCCTGAGATCATGACCTGAGCCAAAGGCAGACGCTTAACTGACTGAGCCACCCAGGTGCCCCTCGCTTTGACTTTCTTAAGTGAGAGATAAAAGGACAGCGTGAGAGCAGAACCCTCATTGATCTTTATTTAGCGAAGCCCGCAGAGAACACAATGGATATATCAATTAACTGTGGCTCTTACAGATGATTTAGTGCTTTCTTACTCCCAGAGATTTGGGGCTTCATCAAAATCTAGGAATGCTGAGTGCACACATGTAATCATCCATCCTGTGTTTGGAGAAAAAGGACTGGAAGAGGTAAAATGGTACCACCTGAAATATTGACGGCTGGTGCAGCTGGTTAAGCGTCTGACTCTTGGTTTCGGCTCAGGTCGTGATCTTGGGGTCGTCGTGAGATCGAGCCCCACGTCGGGCTCCATGCTGAGCGTGGAGTCTGCTTGAGATTCTCTTTCCCCCTCTCCCTCTGCCCCTCCCACTCATGCTCTCTCTCTCCCTAAAAATAAATAAATCTTAAAACGAGTGGAAAGAAAAGAAAATAATGATTAAAAAAACCTGAAATACTCACGGCCTCCTATGGCACCATACTAATGCACAGAATATAGACAAAAAGGAGACTGTCAAACTTTAAAATGAAAGTAAAACCCTATTCACTAGATTCCTGGGATGACAGAGGACAAGAAATCCTGCCATGGGAGGAAATGTCACGCCTACAGCCAACAGAGCTAAGAGAAAGGAACATGGAACAGCTCTGTGAATGCAGGAGCCAAAATACACAGGAGCCCAAGAAACTGAATTTCAAGACCGAGGACATATTCAGGGGAAAAAAAGAAAACCAGATACGACGTGGTGTTTCATGAGTGACCCACCTTCTCGGACCCCGGTCCTCGGGACGAGCCCTCCAAGTCCTCATGCACCCGATCCAGCAACCAGAGCAGGAACTCCAGGGCGTCGTGCTGGGCATTGCCTTGGAACTGAGAGCCATACTTGGAAACAGCGTTCTGGGAGGAAAGTAGAAAACCAGAGGGTCAGTTTGGCCCTGGGAACAACCAAGTTGGGACCTGTAAGCACCACTCAGCCCTGAGCGGGGCTGACAACATGGAAACAGCGTGGGCTGAGAACGTTCTGGCCTGCACCTGCTGATCTATGTCCTGTCCTTTGGAAACCCACAGGGCTGTCTCGGGTGAATATCTGGACGCTCTTTTCCCTTGATGGCGAGGGCGCTTGCTTCCCTGGCCGCCTCCATCAGTCTATCTCTGTCCCTGGCACTCAGCTCCCACCACCGGTGGAAGCATCTTGTCTTACTCTCTCCGTCAGTGACTCATTCACTCCCATGGCTTTGGTGCTCTGTTTGGGAAAGACCGCAGGGTGGCGGCTCGGTGAACTGGGCTGCCCTAAACACGCATGCACCCACCCCCCCCATGCCTCCTTCTAGTGGGTGTGAAATCACACTTCTGTGGTCAGATCACACGATGGCTGAGCCAGTCCTCCACCCCTTCTGTCCATCAGTGCCAGATACTATTGTAGGGACTGGGGTTACAACAGGGAAAACAAGGCAAACAATAGGTTCAGCGCTTACGTTCCCTCTGTGCGGCAACGTTGTCATTTTCTACGGGAAGGCATATTCCAGGTTTTGTTTTTTTTTTTAAAGGTTTATTTTAAAGGGTAACATATGGACATACTTAAAGAATTCAAGACATAAAAAAAGACGATCATGAAAAGTCTTCCCTTCACCCAGCCCCCCGGCACCCAGCATTTTCTCAAGCATCTTTCCAGGGAACTTTTTTTTTTTTTTTAAATGCATGTGCAAGCATGAGCATCTGAGAGGAAGCAAATCCCCTCGTCTGCGTGTTTGCACACATGCACGTGCACACAGTATACTGTGGTTGTTTGACCCCACCCCCAGCCCCACCCCCTTAGATGCAGCCAGGCGTCAAGTCCCACCCCGTCCTGGGAGCCGTCGGAGCTGTGGACTCACATGATCCTCACCACTACTGCCAACCGAATCAAACCAGCCTGGACTTTTTCCTTTTTCCTTCTTTAATCCTTCCACTGGGATTTAAAGGAAATTTTAGGATATGACAAAGCACAATTCAAGACTGAATTAGCTGAAATACTGGCTCGGAGTCTTTATCCCTGTCACTCCAGTTCGGGGTTCACTGGAGGATCTAGTTTGGATTCTTCCTCCAGGCTTCTTTGTCCTTTGACCTCCAAGTAGGGCTGCCAGATCTCGCAAATAAAAATACAAGGGGCTCAGTTAAATTTGAATTTCAGATAAGCAATGACTGCATTTAGTATAAGTATGTCCCATGCAGTATTTGGGATATATTTACACTAAAAAGTTATTCGTTGTTTATTTGAAATTCAAATTTAACTGGGCGTTGTGTATTTTACCCAACGCCTAGCCACCCTCAACATCCCACTCTATCTATCCTTAGTACCAGCATTCTCTCTCTGGGGGCAGCAGCCGCCTCCAACTCAAAATCTCCAAAACCTGCTCTTCCTCTTAACATCAGTGTCCTTCTTTCAGATTCTCTCTTGAACCCACGTCGGTGAGTGCCAAGCATTCTGGAATCCGGTTCCCAATTTGTCTCTGTGGCCCCTCAGTAGAAACACATTCCCACCAGAGTCCTAATTGCGGCTGATCCACACAGGAGCCCGGCCCCGGGACTCTCCCCCCTGCCGGCCCTCAGCCTACACCGGGGCACAGCCCAGCTGGGTAACTTCATGCCTCAACTCAAACCTCCCCTGACTCACCACCTAACAATCCACCCTCCTCCCGTCTGGCCCCGTCCCCATCTTTCACCACCTTCCCACGTTGTTTGAGAGCTCCAGCTAATCCAGCCTCTCAGATGCCCCAGACCTTATTTTTCCAATTCTACAGTCTACACCTTGATGTTTTCTTCCTTCCATGTGAACCCCATTCCCCTCCGGCGAATCATGTTAATCCCTTGAGACAGACGATCTTCATTTTAGCCTGGCTGGGAAGCCATACAACCCTTCCAGAAAGAATGTGAGAATTCCAAGATAGACAGACAGACAGACAGACAGGATAGGGCCTTGGAAATGTCCTTCTATAGAAACAGAGTTAATTCTGCTTTGGGGGATTTGGCATAAGGAAATGAGAGCTATGAGCAAAGATAACTGCTAAGTACTGAAGTCTCCTGGGGAAAACTTACAGCACACTCAGCTGGCCTTAAAAATTATGCTTGAGAAATAATGAGAAGAAAATCAATGATCCTATCATTTTCTTTTAAAGTGCAAAAATACCTACTTGAGCTATGGATATATATATATATCCATAGCTAGAAAAGCCCAGAAATACATGACAAAATATTAACAAATGGTTATCATTGAAGGATGGGGACCGTAAGTGGACTGTTGTTTTTTTTTTTTTTTATTTGTACCCTGCAAAATTTTTTTACAGTGAATTTTGTTCTTTGGTTTTTTTTCTGATTAGAATGGTCTCTGGCAGGTATCTGTACAGAGTTTGGGCTTTTTCAAAATAACCTGACCTATTGATTCCTAACAGAAGACACTCACATAGAAAGTCTATGAAAATGTGACCGGAGCTGTATTAAAGCGAAATCCTCCCTTGGGAGAGATGGATGGAAATATCTAGTCCTTCTACCCTGCAACCTGACACAGCTCTATCTGCGTGTGCACATGCGTTTCTCTCAACACTCAATTTTTAACACATCTCTTACAAAATTATTCCTAATTATTTCCTATTTCCGGGGGTTTTCGTGAATGAAATCTAATTTTCATACATTCTAAATGGTGATTGCTTTTGATTTTCTATCTTGACTCTGACCTGGTTAGTGACCGCCGTAATGCTACAATAGGGATTTCTAGACCCATCTAGCAATTTCCTTTCTGTTCAATCTCTTTTATCCCATTTCCATTTCGTGTCTTACTGTTTCATCCAGAACTTCCAAAATATAAGAGCGATCATCCTTGCTTGTAAAAGGCAATGCGTCTAGTGTATCACGTGAAGCATACCGTATGTCTAAAATTGTACGTCTGAAAGTGATGCTTAAGTACATAAGCTAAGATAAACTCCAGATGGCTGAAATCCTTAATATAGCCATGGGAAAACTAGAAATACATAACACAGAACCTTTATCAAAAGGTATGATGTAAATAAATCTACAACTTCCAGGATTGGGGATAGGAAGGAGAGTTTGCGGAAAATATCTGTGGCAAGGATGAGGGTTGAGGAACTCACAGAAACAAGTAAAAAGAGCGTTGAGAGCAGGCAGAATGGACAGTCGACATGGACAGGAAAATCCAGGCGCAGTCTCACCAGTAAAGAAGCATAAAAAACCTGTGCCTCACTCTTAATCAAAGAAATAAAAATAAAAGTGAGATGCTATTTCTTTGTGTTCAGTGAGTTGAAACATTACACTTGCTAAAGATCAGCCTTTAAGCGTTCCCAACACTGGAAAAAATGATCACCGTGTGACCCAGGATAGAGATGTTATCTGATGCTAAATACACCAATCATATTGCAATATAAATGTATCAAATCAATTCGTTGAATACCTTAAACTTACACAATGTTGCATGTCAGGGATAGCTTGATTTTTTTAAATGGGTGCACTGCACAGGACGTAAGTTATACCTCAACGATGATGATTCAAAAAGAAAAAAACACATAAAAATAAAACAGTCCCATTGTTGCTTTGACCACGTAAGTTCACGTCAAGGGATCAAATTTAGGAAATGGTCAGAGCGGAGGACAATGATTTAAGCAAAGGGATCTTCAATAGTGTGATAACTAGAAACTTGTACAGTAAATGCCTCTGCAGGGACTGGTTCATTGAGGGAAATATTATGCAATCATTTAAAATTAAGTTTTACAGAATGCTGTAATGGCCAGGAGAGAGCCTTATGACAATATTTATGTGAAAAATGCAGGATACAACACTGGAATTTCCAACGTGTAGACGCTCTGAAACGCAGCAATGCTTCCGAAGGTTGTCTCTGGAGGATGGAGTTCCAAATCACTTTTTGCACTTTTAGCACCTTCTGAGTTTTTATACTATGCACGTATTTAATGACATCATTAGAGAAGCAAAGTGTCATAGATAATACTGTGGGCAGGATTTGTTTCGATGTATTTATTCATGTGCTATTCAAACAGAGTGGTCCTACTGTCTATAGGCTGAGTGCCTGGGAGGTCAGGAAAGAGGACACTGCAAAGCCAGCCCATTTGCATGGCTGGGGTGGGGGTAACTCACTCCAGCATGCTGGGCCCTTCTCCATTCCCCCCTTCCTCGGTCTGAAGCTACCAATCCCTCCTCAAGACCCAACTCCTTGGGCGCCTGGGTGGCTCAGTCGGTTAAGCGACTGCCTTCGGCTCAGGTCATGATTCCAGGGTCCTGGGATTGAG